CTTCATGTGATTTGATATTATTTATAGCATTCAACAATTATATCACTTTCACCTCCTGAGAATAATTTTGTCACTCCTTTCTGGGACATCTTCCAACTCTCCAACCATGGTCCTGACACTTATTCCACTTGATTTGGTTCTTCCTGATCTCTAAATACATGGGGACCTCTTGCTTTTTCAGCCAAAATTCACCCCTCACATCTTCTCCTCAATTTCCATGGCTTTAATGCTCCCTACTCAGAGAGGAATGTAGGTATAACATCAAAAGGAATTAACAGAAAATCAGAAACCACTCAATGTATGTAGCAAAGGGTGCACTGCTGCAAGCCACTTTCAAAAATAGGTGCAATTTTCAAAAAACCTTTTCAAAACCATAAAAATTAACAGGAGTAGCAGAGATATTCAGAAATAGAACAGCTAACAGGGAAGACTCAAGGTGACTTAAAGGTGACTGGCCACCAAATGGCAGAGCAACATAACAGAACATAAATAAAATCCACAAGGTGTGGAAGGATTTGCCAGGAGGAAAGTGACCCCAGTTTCTAATACTGCAGCTAAAAGAAGAAAGATTCACAGGATAATTGTCCTGGGTGCAGGCAAAATATAGAATTAGAGGGTAGATAAGACTACAGAAAGGAAGATGTAGAGTTCTGGCTACCTATCAGAAGAAGAACATAAATCTTTAGTATATATAAATATACTCCATGATGATACACATATCTGGAAGAAAGGATTCTGGCTTCACATAGAGGATAGAGAAATTCTATTCTAGTGGCCATCAATATACAGGGGATGAAGTTGCATATTAGACATTAGTGGTAGTAGGGATGTCAATCTGGGAGACTGTAGTACATGACAGAGACATCAGGCCTTGAGAGTGAATAAAACTTTTAATAGGACAATCAGCAGGAGATAAAAAATCAGAAGGAAGGCAGGCAGGGAAACAGCATGTGAATAAGGAGAAAGAGATGCACTTAGAGATGGGGTGAGGGGCTTTCACATGAACTAAAGTGAGGTGATTAGTAGGGAAGAAAATCAATCCTTTCAAAGTGACAAGGCTATGTCTAAGGAGGGAGCAGTGCTTAGAGCAAAGTAATCTAGGTAAAAGGAATTTCAGGAAAGTAAGGTAGAAAACAAGAGATGAGACAAGGCAGAGCAGGCTGGGAAGAATGGAGTCAGGTGAGAACGTGGGGTCCTTGACAAGATTGGCTGCATGCAACCAGATTCAGAAAATAGAATAAAGGAAGACATCAGCTTTGATAGCAGGCAAAGAAAAGTCCAATTAGGAATAAACAAAGACATACAAAATTGTTGATTAGGCTTGTGGGTCATCAACTAGTATAAATAAGTTTCTCTAAACAAGATTTCAGAAGCATCATCCCTTCATTTCCTCACCATTTTCTTAGTTTTTCACTCAATTACCTGGAAACTTTTGACTATGGGCTACTCCTACTATCCACAAAGGTTCTCCTTGCTCCAAATGGAAGAGTGAACTTGGTTTGGTACCTTGATACCCTGTAAAGAGTAGATCCTTGAACACTTGGCACCAAGTATATATGCTTGGGGAAATCTATGAAGATGGGAGAGTTACATTTCAGGGACCATATCAATTATATTTTGACAAAGAAAACACCTTTTACTCAGGATATGGAACATATCCTTTGGGCCATAAAGGACAATTAAAATTTATGACACACCTCAAACCCATTAAGATGGCTACCACCAAAGAAAACAAAGAGAAAACAGTATTGAAAAGGATGTAGAGAAACTGCTACACTTGGTAGGCATGTCAAATGGTGCAACTGCTTTAGAAACAGTTCCTCAAAAAATTAATAGAATTAACTGAGCTCAGTGGCTCAGTCTGTAATCCCGTGCTTTGGGAGGCTGAGGTGAGTGGATTGCCTCACCGCCTGGGCAGTGAGACCTCATCTCTAAAATAAATTAAAAAATCAGCCATGTGTGGTAGCGCATACCTGTAATTCCAGCTACTTGGAAAGCTGAGGTGGAAGGCTCACTGGACCCAGCAGGCCGAGGCTGCGGTGGCTGAAAGCGGCCAATGCACTCCAGTCTGGGAGATGGAGTGAGACTCCAACTCAAAAAAAATAAATAAATAAAATTAATGGAATTACCATAAGATCTAGAAATTCCACTTCTGGGAATATACCTAAAAGCATACAAAGCAGGGTCTCAAAGAGATATATGCACAACCACGTTCATAGCAGCATTATTCACAAGAGCCAAACCATGGAAGCAACCCAAGTGTCCATTAACAGATAAATGAGGTTGGGCATGTTGGCTCAAGTCTAAAATCCCAGCACTTTAGGAAGCCAAGGTGAGAGAATTGCCCGAGACCATGGGTTTGAGACCAGCCTCGGCAATTTGGTGAGACCACATCTCAACAATAAATCACAAAATAAGCCAGGCAAGGAAGCACATGCTTGTAATTCCAGGTACTTGGAAGGCTGAGGCAGAAGGATCGACTGAGCCCAGCAGGTGAAGGCTGCAGTGGCCATAGATTTGTCATTGCAACAGCCTAGGAAACAGAGTAACACTCTAATCCAAAAAAACAACAACAAACAAACAAAAAACACAGATAAATGAAACAGCAGAATGTGGCACATATATCACAAAAGAATATTATTCAGTCTTAAAAAGGAAGGAAATTCCGGCACATGTTATGACATTGGTGAACCTTGAGGACATTGTGCTAAGTGAAATAAGTCAGTCACAAAAAGATAAATCCTGTATTATTCCACTTACATCAGATACTTAGAGGGTTCAAAATCATAAAGACAGTAATTACAACAATGGCCACCAGGAACTGGGGGATAGTGGCAGAAGAATGGGTAGTTACTGTTTTATAGAAACAGAGTTTCAGTTTTATAAGATGAAAAAAGTTATAAAGACCAATGGAGATGGTGGTTACACAACACTGAATGCATGTAATTTTCACTTAATCCCACTGAACTGCATACTTAAAAATGTTTAAGATGAGCCAGGCTCGGTAGTTCAGTCTGTTATTCCGCATTTTGGGAGGCTGAGGTGAGTGGATTGCCTGAGCCCGCGGGATAGGGACCTGCCTGGGCAACTTGGTGAGACCTAATCTCTACAATAAATCAAAAAATTAGCCAGGCGTGGTAGCACACGCTTGTAGTTCCAGCTACTTGGAAGGCTGAGGCGGAAGGATTGCCAGAGCCCAGCAGGTGGAGGCTGCAGTGGCTGAGAGCAGCCACTGCACTCCAGTCTGGGTGACAGAGTTAGACTCCAACTCAAAAAAAAAAAATGGTTAAGATGGCAAATTTTATGTTACACATGTTTTACCACAAAAAAAAAAACCCAGAAAAGTCTATGACATGCAATGCCTTTAGTCCAAATCTTTAAATATTCAAGAGACCATATGGAATTCACCAAATGAAAAAAAGGTAACTGACTGGGATGCTGTCCTTACCTTCTGATACAAGGTTGCCGTAGTTCTCCAACATTACCTCCTTGTAAAGGACCTTCTGAGTTGGGTCCAAGAGCTGCCACTCTTCCCTGGTAAAGTACACAGCCACATCTTCAAAGCATAATGATCCGTATAACAACACATCCAGTGCATTCTGAGGTGAATATCAACAGATGATGTGGAAAAGATGGAGAGGAACATGTTTTGCTCCTATGCACACTATATGTGAACTATTTCAAATACCACAGGACCATGGAAATCTGTTAATCCTTCTATTTTAAAAAAAGCACTGAGGCAAAGGTCTACATAGATAAAAAACAATGAACAATAAGAATGTTTATTGCCGGGCTCGGTGGCTCAGCCTGTAATCCCGCACCTTTAGGAGGCTGAGGTGAGTGGATTGCACGAGCCCGCGGGTTCGAGATCCGCCTGGGCAGCGAGACCTCATCTCTACAATAAATAAAAAAAATCAGCTGGGCGTGGTAGCGCTTGCCTGTAATTCCGATTACTTGGAAGGCTGAGGTGGAAGGATCGCCGGAGCCCAGCAGGTCGAGGCTGCGGTGGCCGGGAGCGGCCACTGCACACCAGTCTGGGCGACAGAGTGAGACTCCAAAACACACACACACAAAAAAAAGAATGTTTATTATTCCTTTGTTTATAATAGTCAAAATCTATCAATAATCTTAATGGCTATTAAAAGCAGAGTTAAATTACAGCATCTCCATGCTATAATATACTAACGAACGCTAAAATCAATGAGGTACATGTATAAATATGGATATCAATGATCTTCAAGGCATTTTCTTAAATGGAGAAAATCAAGCTCCATTATGTAAATTATGTAAAGTGATCCAAGATATACCAAAAATTGTAATAATATATGCAATTATGAATATATAAGTACATATATGTATGTATAATAGAACTGTATATAAATGTAGATGTATTCTACCACATGTCATAGAAAGGGACTAGATAAAAATCCAAACTATTAACATTTGGGGTTTGGATCGAAGGGTGAAAGGTGATACTGTCTTTTGATACATATACTTCTGTTTGTTTGAATCTTCTGCATGTAAATATAGTCACATATCATTTGAGTAATTAAAAATATGAAGATACGACCTGGTGCAGTGGTTTACACCAGTAATCCCAGCACTTTGGCAGGTCAAGTGGGAGGACTGCTGGAGGCCAGGAGTACAAGATCAGGTTGAACAATGTAACTTCATCTTCTAATTTAAAAATGTGGCCAGGTGTGGTGGCTCACATCTGTAATCCCAGCACTTGAGGAGGTGGAAGCAAGACGATGCCTGAACAGTTCAAAACCAGCCTGAGAACTTGGCAAGACCTCGTATCTACAATAAATTTAAAAATGAGCCAGGTGTGGTGGTGCGTGCCTATAGTTCCAACTACTTGGAAGACTGAGGTGGAAGGATTGCTTGAGTCCAGCATGTCAAGATGTGGGGCTGTGAGTGTGTCACTGCACTCCAACCTAGGTAACAGTGTGAGACTCTGTCTCAATAAATAAATAAATAAATAAATAAATAAATAAATAAAATTCATTAAAAAGAATTATGAAAACAAAACTAGAATCATTGGCACTACCTCATTTTTGAACCTGAGGTTAAGAAGCTAAAAAAGAAGCACTGTCAGTGCCTGTGTTCCAAACTATTACCAAAAAATGGAACTTTCAGCCAGCTTCTGACAATTCACTAACAAATATCTCGTTGAGAGAATGCTTCTTCATGGGAGACCATTTAAAGCTCAAGCAGCCCACTCATTCTACTGGATAATCCAGGCTTTATTTCCAGTTAAAGTCAGACAACCAGAAGGCTCTATTTTCAAGGCATACTGTGTTTGAAGAATTTTGTCCAATCCAGTTTTCTTTTGGCATTATCTTCTTAGCTGACCCAAGGAATCATAAGATAAAGCAAAATAAAACATCCTTTACCTTTATTACAAGGGCGATTTGGAAGACACTATCTACCACAAAACCTTCCTGAAAAATATGTTTCTTAAGATCTAAGAGCAACAACATGTTTACTTCCTCTGAAAAACTGCCTTGGCTTCTTCTCATTGCTATCATGACACGCTTCATGTTTTTCTTGTTATTACAGCTGCCAACAGAAGATACAGTTCAAAGCAAAGGCAACCTATGGGGTCTTACACACAGTCACTCTGCTGTTTCAACATTAAGAATGCTGCACAAATACCATGTCCTACCTACCTCGCTTCCTAATTTGACCAGATTGCATGTTTATAACTCAAACTTATTTTTTGACAGATACTGATTTCTATCAACATATACTGTCTCCCTTAACCAGACAGTCTTTTTCGACATATGTGTTGAGAAACACAGGATTAAATAGGTAAAACAAAACTCACCTCGGCTTTGGTCATTTTCTTCTGTTATTAAGAAAGGGCTAGCAACAATGGAATATGCTCTGTCTTCTGTCTATCCTGAACCTGTTTGGAAGATATGATCAGATATCTCCAGTCAGGTTACTATGAGAAACAGTAATTTCTTGAGCATGGAACTTCTGTCTTTTATTACCAAAAATGTCTTGTTCCTATAGATACTAACCCGTAGATTCAAGACCAAATTCAAATGTAAGAGGACATGTAACTGGGACCAAAACTCTCTAATTACCATTGGACTCACACTAACATAAATGTCCCAATATTTCATCTGCTTCCTTAAAATCCTGGAAACTTTTAATCATAAGGCAGTGCTCTACACTAAGACATCAAATGGACAACAGGAACGGTTTTGTGTTTTGTTTTTGTTTTTTGGGGGAGCGAGGTAATGGTGGAACAGAGGAGATGTGAAACAGGAAACAACAATCAAAAACTACTCATGTTCTTATCTGCTGCAATTTCTCACATATATCAATTTTAGGAAACCAATACATAGAAGTGGTGGAGTTGGGAGCAGTGGCTCGTGCTTGTAGTCCCAGCTACTCAGGAGGCTGAGGCAGGAGGATACCTTGAGGCCAGGAGCTTCAGACCAGCTTGGGCAACATAATGAGACATAGTATCTCAAAGAAAAAAAAAGCAGGAGCTCTAGAAAACAGCTTTACTCACCTGTACCCACATGCTCCTAAATTTTTTGTTTACTGCATTGGGTCAATTACCCCACATCAATGATCAAAGGGCTAAACAAATCATAAGCGTTGTCTGATTTAATGCTCAGTACTATTTTAGAAGGTAATCATTGTTATTTCCATTTTAAACAGGAGTGAGCCATGGTTTGGTGAGGTGAAGTGTTCTGCCCAGGTTAACATCCTTCCTAATTAGAATTCAAATTCACATCTGGATGTCTCCATTGTGACAATTCCCTCTCACAACAGCCTTATGAGACAAACTTGTTCTCTTTCTCACTCACTTTCAGAATTTTCTTCCCAGTGGGGTGGTCATACAGTCACAACTGCAAAATCAGAGCCCCTATCATCGTCTCATGTAGTGTTCACTGTGTACGGCAAGCCAGGTCCTTCCACAAGAGCAAGAATGCAAAGGAAGCCCCAACCCCTGCCTCATGCCTCAGAACTACCTAGATCTGAGTTCAGTCTCCTGGAGAGCCAAGCTCTGGAGCCACACTAGAAACTCGCTCTGGAGACACCAACATTGTGAAATCAATGGAATGTTGTTTTTAACCCAGCAAGTCATTCTCAAGGACTCTAGCTCCCTGTATCCTCCACACCAGGAGAGCTCATCTGCAATGCATTTTCTAACCTATTGGCAAACACACTAGAAACATGCATCCCTCCCCCATCTCCAATCCTGAGGCAGCTTTGTCCCAGTCCTGCGCCTTTAGTCTAGCCTCCTTGCAGGGCCAGTCCAAGTGGAGTAGTACATACCCAAATGCAGAACTCTACGGAGTCGGCCAAGAGACAGAAGAGACAGTCATGCATGAATGGGCTGAAGCTGAAAACCTTAAAGTTGAAAAATCCAGGAGCCAGTTGTGGTGGCTCACTCCTGTCATCCCAAAACTTTGGGGGACAGAGGTGAGAGGCCTCTCTGAGCCCACAATTTTGAGACTAGCCTGGGCAAATGGTGACGCCTCATCTCTACAATGAACAAAAAAAATTAGGTGTGGTGATGCACACCTATGTTTCCAGCTACTTGGAAGGCTGAGGCAGTAGGATCACATGAGCCCAGGAGGTTGAGGCTGTGGTGGCCATGAACATACCACTGCACTCCAGCCTGGGCAACTGAGTGAGACTACTATTCAAAAAGAAAAAAAGAGAGGAAAAATTCAGAACTCAAGCATTTCCCAGAAGCTCATAGAAGAATTTCTATCAGACCTAACCGTTCTGAGTTCTACCACATGCTCATGACTGGAAGGAACATGACAAGAAAAGTCAGAGTGACAGTGAAACTAATCTGATTGGTAAGACTACTCTGAATTTTCTACTGAACCGAGGTTAAGGTCAAATTTCAAGATGGATAGCTAACTAAATAAAATAGGAATTTTTATAACAAACAAAAGGAGTATGGATCTCAAGTTGGCAGCCAACAGTATCCAGTAAAAAATTAATATGTCTGAGGAGAAAAGCCATATGATGATCTATTAATAAACAGATACTGGAAAAACATATCATAAAATGCAGTATTGTTCTTTATAAATTTGTGACAGCCTAAAAATGGAATGGCTATTTCCTTTAACTTATTATACACACACATACACACACACACACACACACACACACACACACACACAGACACATATACACACTCCATATCCTAAATATATTTTGGAAAAAGATAAAGATTTGAGTCAGGCACCATGGCTCATACCTGTAATCACATCACTTTTGGAGGGCACGGCAGAAGGACTGCTTGAGCCCAGGGATTTAAGATCAGATTAGCTACCATAGCAAAACCTTATCTCTACAGAAAAATTTAAAAAACTAGCATTGTGGCATACACCTGTAGTCCCAGGTGGAGGCTGAGGCAGAAGGATCACGTGAGTCTAGGAGGTCGAAGTTGTGGTGAGCCGTGATTATGCCACTGCACTTCAGCCTGGGTGACAGAGACTCCGACTAAAACACAGCAGAACAAAACCCAAACATTTACTCAATTAATCTTCACAATGATTCTATAAAACAGGAATTATGACAACTTTTTCCACAAAAGATAAAAATTTCTCAATGGTTAACCTACCTAACTTAGAGGCAGAAGCAGGTTCTTCTTACTCCACAGGGGATATGATCACGACTTGGTAAAATTATTGATAGATGACAAAAATGCTTAACTAGAAAAGAGAAAGGAATCAATTTATAACCTATGTGTAATAACATGAGTATAATGAAGTGACAAACTAAACATTTATTTTTAAACCTGGTCTTTTTGCATAACTTAAAATCAGAAGTGCTGCGTCCTGCGCAGCTGGGTGATATAGGATCCTGAAAGAGGTACGGCGCAAAGGGGGCTCGGTGGCTCAGCTTGTAATCCCGTGCCTTTGGGAGGCTGAAGTGAGTGGATTGCCTGAGCCCGCGGGTTCGAGACCCGCCTGGAGAGTGAGACCTCATCTCTACAATAAATCAAAAAATCAGCCGGGCGTGGTAGCGTCTGTAATTTCGGCTACTCAGAAGGCTGAGGTAGAAAGATCACCGGAGCCCAGCAGGTTGAGGCTGCGGTGGCCGGGAACAGCCACAGCACTCCAGTCTGGGCGAGGAGTGAGACTCCAACTCAAAAAAAGGTACGGCGCAGTATAACACAATGCACAACACTTTTAGGTTAGAAAGTGGGGGACCAGGAGGCACTTTGTCTCGTGAAACAAAGGCCTTGAGTTTCTTACCGAGTTTCTTAGACTTTTATTAGTACAAAATGAGGTAGTTAAGTAAGGCTTCAAGGACAAAGTACAGACAGTGCAAAGAAAACTCCCTGTTTTGATATTAGAAAGCTTTTGTGGAAAAGCGTGACTGTTTACAAGATATAGTGCAGCTGCTTGCAAGACAAATATATAACTTTTTATCTATTTTAAAATCATAGACGCTACACTTTCAGAACTTGCTTCAGCATACATGCCTATCAGGCTTTGCCATTATAGGCATTCTTGGCTGCTTGTGACTTTGCACGTATGCCAAGTATGTTACCAGGAGAGTTCAAGCAGGGACCACTGGGGCGTGCAGATGCCAAGTTTTACAAGGCTCTGAACCCCACACGTCTGGAACTCCCCATACACTTTACATACAACCCATATTAACCCCAAAACCCACAGTACACACCCCTGGCCTCATGACCGCTTCCCATATGGACTCCAAACACCGCTTTCGTGGACAAAGACCACATCCCCTTAGAGTTCTCCCTCGCTGAGTTCTAGTGACAGTGTGCCCCGCAAAGACCCCAAACTCTGACGCCAGAGTTCTCAAGTCGTTGAACTCGACACACCTTTAACGCCTGATCCAGGGATCTCCCACGCGTGACCGCAAAGGCACCCAACTTCACATCCGCCATCCCCAACCACCGGCTGTCCCCACGGAGCCCACGGATCCTCTGTCCACTTAATCTACTCCACCTCTAGACTCGCACACTGGACCTAGCTCCCCCGGACCACTCAGGCGGCTCGGTGTAAATTCCAAGAATTCTTCCGCTTCTGCCCTTTAAACCCGGAATTAGCATCTGCCTACGGTGGCTCACGAGAGTCTGACGAGTTTCTCCGGAGACGGGGTAACGGACTCCGACAGCATCCTAGGATGTAATATGTCCGCGCCCTGCGCCGCCGCACTTTGGGGGCGGCCATCTTCGAAGATATGCCGTACAAAAGGGAAAGGACAGTTTTTGTGTCACTAACCGAGGACGGCTGGTGTAAAAACAAAACCCCGGAACGCAGTACAGTTCTCTGGAGCAGCGATCCCCAAACATTTTGTCATCAGGGACCGGGTTCGTGGGACACAGTTTTTCCAAGGACGGGGCACGGGGTCGGATCATCAGGCACTAGATTCTCAGAAGGAGCACGCAACCCAGATCCCTGGCATGCGCTGTTCACCACCAGGTCCGCGATCCTAGGAGCATCTAATGCGGTTGATATGACCCGAGGCAGAGTTCAGACTGCCCGTCGCTAGCCCCTCTTGTGACCCCTGGTTCCTGACAGGCCAGAACCGGTACGGGTCCGCGAACCGGGGCTTCGGGAACCCTTCTCTGGAGTTTATCTGACCCGTGACTCCTGAATCGGGAAGCATCAAACCAAAAGAAGTTTAGGGCATCTGCGCTGGAAGCTTTAGAGGCAAGATTGATAGGGTAGATGAGAAATACTGCGGAGGTACAGCCTCCATAGAGCAGGTTCTGAGGTGGGGGAAGGGAATGAGAAATGAAAGACAAAGAACAGTGGGATTGGGAGGTCTCTCACCTCAACAGGTGAGAGCAAGTTTATTTTTACAGCATGTTTTTTTATATAGGGCAAAACTATATAAACAAGAAATATCTATTTTTAAATTTATAAGCATATTTTTTATTTTAAAATTGTGGGATTAAGGGTTAGGTATACAAATATGTATCGTTCGTGCACCCTTGTTGATAAGGGGTGTCTCCCCATCTCCAGACAGATATTGACTACCGTTAA